GACATATTTGCCCTCTGTAAAAATGGAACTGAAGCACCGTTCTTGAAACATCTAAACAGCCCATTCCCCAGCCTCATCGTTTTCACCATGGAGAAAGAAGAAAACGGCACCCTACCCTTCTTGTATGTGCGAGTAAGAGACACCACCAGCAAGGATATTTGATCTCGGTGTTTCGCAAGAAGACGCATACTGATAAGTATCAACATCACTCTTCTAATCATCCAGATTGCGTAAAGAAAGGTATCTTCAATATTCTTCTCCAAAGAGGCTGGAAGATATGTATAACTGATGATGATTTCCGCCAAGAACTAAATCACATCAGATCGTCGCTGAAAAAGAACGGCTACCCGATGAAGACCTTTAAGAAGGCTTGAAGAGGGGCGTCTACCAGCTCACCTGATCACAAGACCTACATCACCTTGCCATACGTTCGCAAACTGAATGAAAAGCTGCGAAGTATTGGATCTGCTTCCGGACTCAACCTGATATTCAAACCTGTTGCTGCTCTACCTAGCCGTCTAAGCCACCTCAAGACCCAGAAACCTAAGGAGCAAAAAGCTGGTTGAGTGTACCAACTCCCGTGCCCCTGTGGTGCGGTTTACATAAGCGAACGGGACACGGTACAAAGGAAGACGGACCACAAGAGGAATTTGATCAGGCGGAAGAACGTTGATGCTGGAGAAAGGTGTTACTAGCAAGTCAGCCGAGGTCGGAAACAGACGAAAGACCCTGGGGTTGTAAAGGCAGAATGTGAGAAAAATTCTGCCACTGTGGAACATGCTGTTACCCATCAACACAACATCTCAGGGGACAAAATGAAAGGCATCACGCGGGAACAACAATATCTTTCCCGCAAGGTCAAAAAAGCGTTGTTGATCCGAGCAACCAACTGTATCAACCGTGACCTTGAAACAGACATCAGCGACACATGGACCGTAAACATCAGGCGGCCAATCAAAACCAGTAAACGAGCACGACACCAGGAATATAAGAAAAAATATCGCGTACCCTTGTTAAGGTACTCTGAAAACGGACCGAGTTTGGTCTGAAACATCTGAAACATGGATTGTCCTCTCCGCTTTACTACAAAACATGGAGTTGCCTGATATCTTGTTATTTGGACAGTTATATCTAATTAAATTGTGCGTGGTGTCATTATAGTTACTTATTTCGGGCAAAATTCTTAAGTATTATACTAGGTAATGTTGCGTATATACGTAAACAGTGTACTACCTCTTTAAAGTATATCGACATATCTGTTTTGTTGTCTGTACTGTTACGTTGTATGTTGAGGAATTCATCCCTAACTCAGAAGGAAATTTTATGGCAGTATGCAACCAGCGCTTGGCTGCTAGATGAATGTTTGAGGGGCAATGATTCTGTAGTATTTAAATCCTCAGTAATACAGTGCAAAGACGCAAAGCAACGTCGAATTATTGTAAGTCTTAAACTTGTACATATTTCGTTCCATTTTCAAGTTTAGAATGTAAAAATTTTGTTTAATTGGTTTTGCGTCTTTTGTTTTTAAATTTTTTACTATTCTTGATTTTTAAGAATATCGCAGTGGTTATGGAAAAAACACCATTGAAGATTTCTTCTTCAGCTTTTGAAAAATCTGTGAATGCCGTTTCGCCTTCCACGGTGACGAGTAGTAGTCCGAGGGCGAAAAGATTAAAACCTGTAAGTACAACTAAAGTAAGTTACGTTTCGATTATTTTAAACTAAATGCTTCCTAAAGGGGGTGCGATATTCCGGTTATTGCGTGTTGAATTCAGGTGTCTTTAATTTAAAACTGACCGGCAAATTGAAGTGGCCCGTAATTTTCAGCATAATCATTCATAATAGTTTTTAACTATATCGTTATTGCTTATTGTTTAGGTCAAAGCGTTTGTTTTCAACAGCAGGATAGATAGCAACTCTTGAGAAGTGACTGATTTCAAGCGTTCATTATGGCAGAGTGGTCTACTTAACGGACCGCTTAGACTGGTCTGATATGGGGTAATTTTCGTTTTCACAAAGAAGTTTTTCTACTTTATGAGACTGTTTAAACCTTTGGTACCACCTTCGGGTGAAAGGAACTACTACTGGGAGGTCGCGAAGTTATTGGGTAATTCATTGCTGGCAAATGACAGCAATGCCGTACACGTGAAATTTATGCTAGGAATTTTGGGAGTTGTACTTGAAGCAAAGTCACTACAATTCCAGCGCGTATTGAAGTGGAGAAACAGATAAAGGAAGTCCTGAGCAGAAACGTGGCATTGTACAAATCTTGTAGTCGAAGCCTCCCAGACATTGTTTTCTTATTATTGCAATGTGCATTATATTTTATAGAAATACTGCTGGGTGCAAATAATAAGCCTTTTTGCCTAAGCAGATAAACTTCTTTTTCATCATTGTCATAATCTTTTTCTTCTTTTTCCTTTTTTATTCTTTGTCCCGAGTTGCTGAATCCCAATAACGGTGATATGACGAAAGTAAGTTGTTTCGCTTTGTTTAAAATGTGGCTCCTGAAAATGAAGAACTGTAAATACCGAATATTTCTTCATATAATGTTTATAAGTTTAATTTTTTTATATTTTGTTTAAATGTAAAATAGTTAATTTTCTACATGATCATTTATTGAATAAGTTTTAAAACTAAACTTAATTCTTTTAAATTATAATTAATATCTAATTTAATCAAATTAATCTAAATGTTCTAATTAATGTAATTGGTCTAATC